TGCCTCTACTTAACGCTGGATGCAGCTACGGTTCTGGTCCATGCTGCTGTCCCCTCTCGCCTTGACTTCTGCAATCTGATTCTCACTGGTCTTATGTGCTCCCAACTTGCCCCATTACAGTCTACAAGGAAGGGCCCGGGCGCAGCCTGAGCGCTCCCTCCTGTCAGCTTCCTTTGCTGTAGCGTGGCCGAGCCCTGCAGCTTGATGGTCTGACAGGTACAGGGAGCAGCTGTCTCCTGTACCCGGCCGGACTAACAGGAAGTGCACACAGTGTGTGCACTTCCTGTTAGTCCGGCCGGGTACAGGAAACAAAAGCTACCTGTACCCGCCGACTATACTGGGCTCGGCCACGCTACAGCACAGGTAGGGGAGGAGGGGGGGATGAGAGAAAGAGGGAGAGAAAGAGGAGAAAGGGGGGTGAGAAAGAGGAGAAAGGGGGGGGAAGAGGAAGAGAAGGGGGGTGAGAGAGAAATTAGGAGGGGGGGTGAGAAAGAGAAATTGGGAGGAGAAGAAGGAAATTGGAGCGGGAGGAGAGATTGACATTCATCACATACACACAATGCACCCCTTGCACACAGAAAAACACACAATGCATTACACACACAGACACACATACACAAGCAATGCAACCGTTACACACAATGCATCCTTTACACACACAGAAACACATAATGCATTCATTACACACACTCAATGCACCCCTTACACACATTCAATGCATCCCATACATACACAGAAACACACCTTGCAGCCCTTACACATACAAACACAATTTCACACAATGCATTTCAGGAGGGGCTGACAGCGGTTTTGCAAAGTTTACAAAAAAAAAAAAAGAAAACCTTCAACATTTTACAGGTTTTTGGGAGGGGTGCCAAGCACAGGATCCGCCCCGGGTACCAAATGCTCTAGATACACCCCTGCCCCTGCCCCTACCAGTTTATGGCAACCTGACACACTCTCCCTACCTTCATCTTTATCCAAAAGTCAACCTGGAACTAACATTAGTGCTGTACATACAAAACATATGTTACCAGCATAGACTGCGGGCTGGCAACAGATATAATGTGAGCGCACCTAGAAGGAGTGGATTGTAGGACAGTGAGCGCACACATCAAAATAACTGTCTCAATGTGAAATTCTCCCCTCCATCTGAATGTCAGCCTTCCTATAGCCCTCTCTGCAATCTATATAATAAATCATAAGGTGGAACTGAACGCCCATATTTGTTTACTGAGATAGGTACTTTTAAGTAGCCTTAAATAATTTAGAAATTCATTTTTATGTGTGCTGTAACTTAATCTGTATTATGTATAAATTTTTTTCACTATGGCATTCACCATTGCTGCAAGATGCATGTTCCGGGTGTGCCCCCAATTCCCTTTTGAATTTACCATTTAAGTTTGGAATTCAGACCAGATTCCCTTTTGGGATGATCACCCCGCCTTCAACCCCCAGCATCAGAGGCCCCTTTGGAGGTGACCACATGTATATATTTGAGGATGTTTTGGATAGTAATGTCACTTTAATTATAATTTTCATAGAGCAGATATTTAATTTGCATTGTGAGTGTATACATCAAAGCACTATCACTTTAATTGTTTAGTTCTGACACTGCATTTTTTTAAATTGCATTTATCACATTCAATTTGCATT